ATCTAAACATACATAAAATAAGCTTTGTAATGATATATCAATGTGAATATGAGAGTATATTAAACTCCAAAAATATGACCTGTTTTGGAGAATTGCTGTGTGCCTATAACAATTTACAGTACTTCTGAACACGGAGAATCCATAGACTGATACTCAGTGATTGAAATACACTGTGGCAAACCCCTGCCTCCTTGGCCCCTATCTCCAAGAAGGTGGAGAGGAAATACTTTTGTGCCGGCCAAGGACCACGAATACCTCTATTCCCACCTGGCACCCAACTCGCTCGTGGTGGAATTGGTAAACCACAGGGAGCGACAGGGCCAGCCCATGCCCACCCCCAAAAATAAGGACGCCAGACAGCTGGACTCCTTTGGGAGAAAGCTTTATTCCTCTGCGAGTTTCCAGCTTAGGGTAGCCAACCACCAGGCCTTACTGAGCAGGTATGACTTTAACCTTTGGGAGTCTCTGCCTAAGTTCGAGCCCCTCCTCCCAGATCGGGATAGGAAGGACTTCAAGGCACTGGTGGAAGAGGGGGTGGCGGCTGCTAAAGCGGCCCTGCAAGCGGCGTCCGATGCAACTGACACTGTGGCCAGCTCAATGGCTTCCGCGATTTCCATGCGCAGGGCGTCATGGCTCCTGTTGTCGGGACTGTCAACGGAGGCCCAATCCCTGATGCTGGACCTTCCGTTCGATGGGAAGGCACTCTTTGTGGACCAAATGGACGTCAGGTTGCATGAGATGAAAGATTCCCGCACTACCTTGCAGAGCTTGGGCCTCTACGTCCCTCTGGCTAAGGACAAGGCCAAATCGCTTCTGGCGGCTCAACCTGTGAGGAGCAGATATGAGCCCCCATATAAAAGACCCAGAGACCAGAAATGCTGGTCTCAGCGGCAGTCCTGCTCTGACCCACAGCCTGGGCCCTCCAAGGGCAAGAGGCAGGGAAAGAGGCGGTTTTGACTATTTGCAGGGGGGCACCGGGCCTCTTGCCAGGGAGACCCCCCTGTTTATTAAAGTTTGTGTTCTGCAACTGATTGTCTGCCTTCCACAGGGCGTGGTCCCACATAACATCGGATTAGTGGGTCCTCAGTACCATTTCCAAGGGCTACATGTTGCAGTTCACCTCACCCCCACCAAATCACCCGTCCTCTATGATGGCCACAGGGGACCCGGGGCCTATCTCTGCCACCTGGGGGTGGTGGAAAGGGTACCTGTGGAATTCCAGGGCAAAGGGTTCTACGCCCGATACTTCCTGATCCCGAAGGCCAAAGGGGGCCTCAGGCCCATCTTCGACCTGCCGGACTTAAACCGGTTTCTAGTCCGTTCCAAGTTCCGCATGGTGTCCCTGGCCTCTATTATCCCCTCCCTGGACCCGGGGGACTGGTACGCGGCCCTGGACCTTCAGGACATGTATTTTCATATCCATATTTTCGAGGGGCACAGGTGCTTCCTCCGCTTTCTGGTGGGGATGGACCACTACCAGTTTGCAGTCCTCCCGTTTGGTCTATCCACGGCTTTTTACGAAATGTATGGCTGTGGTAGCAGCCTACCTCAGGCAATAGGGGGTACAGATCTTTCCTTACCTGGACGACTGGCTCCTCAAGGGGGAGTCCCACTCTGAGGTAAAGACCCACATGGAGCTGCTCCTATCGACATGCGCTGGTCTCGGCCTAGTGGTGAACGAGACCAAATCAACATTAGTTCCTGTTCGGCGCATAGAGTTCATTGGGGCCCTGCTGGACTCCTCGAGGGCCACAGCCTCTCTCTCCCTGGACAGGTTCGAGACCCTAAGGGATCTCATCGCCTCAGTCACGGCTTTCCCGGTGACCATCGCGAGGGCGTGCCTTCGAATTCTGGTGCACATGGCGGCGTGTACATACGTGGTCCGCCATGCCAGACTCCGAATGAGGCCCCTCCGGATCTGGCTAGCCTCCCAATTCTCCCAAGCTCGGGACGGCCTAGACAAGGGGCTCATGGTTCCGTCCCCGATACTGGGTTCCCTTCAGTGGTGGTCTTGCCCGAGCAATATGCTGCAAGGAGTTCCCTTCCGAGATGCCAGCCCATCCATAGACCTGGTGTCCGATCCTTCGGACCTTGGCTGGGGAGCCCACATAGGGAACGTGCAGACCCAGGGAACGTGGTAGACTCCGGACTTGTCCCTTCACATAAATGTCAAAGAGCTCAGGGCGGTGTGGTTCACGTGTGTGGCTTTCCTCACACACTTCTGCGGCAGGGTGGTCAGGGTCCTCACGAACAACACCGCCGCCATGTACTACATCAACAGGCAAGACGGGACTCGCTCTCTAGCCCTCTGCCGGGAAGCCCTGAACCTATGGGAGTTCTGTATAGCCCACAATATCTTCCTGAGGGCGGCCCACCTCCCAGGCATCCGCAATACACAAGTGGGCTGCCTCAGCAGGGTCTTCTCCCCCCAATACGAGTGGTCGCTCCATTCAGAGGCCGCTCACCGGCTCTTCCGAGAGTGGGGAGTTCCCCAGATTGACCTGTTCACAACCTGCCAGAACCGGCGTTGCCCCCAGTTCTGCTCGAGGGAAGGGGTGGGGAAGGGCGCAATCTCCGATGCGTTCCTCCTATGGTGGTCGGGCCAGCTCCTCTACGCCTCTCCCCCGTTCCCCCTCATCGCCAAGGTCCTTCAGAAGGTGAAAGCAGACAAGGCGAGAGTCTTTCTCATAGCCCCAGCGTGGGCCCGTCAACACTGGTACGGGCCCCTCGTACGCCTCTTGGTGGCCCCCCCGAGGGTGCTGCCGCTCCGCCCGGACCTCCTTTCCCAGGCGTGGCTGCTCCGTGGCTAAACGAGGAGGAGAACAGGTGTTCGGAGCAGGTAAGGCAAGTCCTCCTGGAAAGCAGGAAGCCGTCCATGCGTTGGACGTACATGGCAAAGTGGTCCAGGTTCACCAGGTGGGTGAGTGAGTGGGGAGTCTCCCCCTCCGCCGCACCTCTCCAGCTTATCCTGGACTACCTCTTATCCCTTAGGGCCCAAGGACTGGCACCTGCCTCAGTCAGGGTGCACCTGGCGGCCATATCGGCCTTCCACCTGCCGGTGCAAGGGTACTCGGTCTTCTCCCGCTCGATGACCTCCCGTTTCCTGAAGGGCCTCGACCGTTCATTCCCGTATGCTAGACCCCCATGCTGCAATGGGACCTCAACCTGGTCTTGTCCCGACTCTCACGGGGGCCCCCCTTTAAGCCCCTGGCCACGTGTTCCTGGTCTCGCCTCTCGGAAGGTGGCCTTCCTTGTAGCGATCACGTCGGCCCGACGTGTCTCGGAACTTAGGGCCTTAACCTCGGAACCCCCTTACGTGGTCTTCCACAGGGATAAAGTTCAGCTCCGCCCACACCCGGCATTCCTCCTGAAGGTGGTCTCCACCTTCCATATGGAACAGAGCATCTTTCTTCCTGTGCTTTGTCCTAAGCCCCATTCTTCTAACGAGGAATGCTGCCTCCACACCCTCGATGTGCGTAGGGCGCTGGCTTTTTCTGGATCGGACCAAGCCGTTCTGGAAATCCTGGCAACTCTTTATTGCCTTGGCCGAGTGGGTAAAAGGGCAGCCTATCTCCACCCAACGGCTTTCCCGCTGGATCACTTCATGCATACGCACGTGCTATGATCTGGCAGGGGTCCCCCCCGCCACCGATCATTAGGGCGCACTCAACGAGGGCTCAGGCCTCCTCAGCTGCCTACATAGCCCATGTCCCTATCCAGGACATTTGTAGGGCGGCCACTTGGGCCTCAGTTCACACATTTACTTTGCATTATGCGATTGTCTCCCAGTCTAGGGATGATGCCGGGTTCGGCAGGGCGGTACTTCGTCCCCAACTATCGTGAACTCCTACCCACCTCCAACAGATATTGCTTGGAATCACCTACTGTGGAATACACATGAGCAATCACTTGAAGAAAGGACAGTTACCTGTTCCATAACTGGCATTCTTCGAGATGTGTTGCTTATGTCTATTCCACACCTCGCCCTCCTTCCCCTCTGTTGGAGTTGTCCGGCAAGAAGGAACCGAGGGTGGGGGGAGCCCGTGGCTCCCCTTATAGCGCGATATACAGGCGCCACTCCAGGGGTTGCCGTGGTGCTCCCCCAGTACGGATACTGCTAAGGGAAAAACTTCCGGCACTGGTGCACGTGGCAAGCATGCACACCTACTGTGGAATAGACATGAGCAACACATCTCGAAGAACGCCAGTTACGGAACAGGTAACTGTCCTTTTATTTTGAATCGACCTCCCAGAGTACAATGAGTTTCAGTGAGTGAGCCTCAATTTTGGCTGTAGCACTTGGTGGGTTTCCATAAACCACGTCTAATTGAAAAGGAATTTGATATAAAAGATCTAAATATCATAAGCAAAATGCTTGACTATAGGATGAAAAATGGCGTACACAATTTTAGATCTATGTCAATATTCTTAAGGTGTAGCCAAATAGAAAGGAACAGAGGGTGGTTTTGCCTCTCTGGTCTAGATTCTGGGAAAATTTTTCATGGTTTGAGGGCAATAGCTGTCCATCTTGCCCCTGCCTCCACCTTTCCTTCTAGCATCCTTAGGCATGGATTTGACTCTGCCTCTAGTGTCCTAGGTTGTTTTTTAGCTGTCTTTTTTCTTCCTGTGTGCAGCTTCCTTTTTTTGTTTAACCATTTCCAATAGTCCCACACTTTCTGTTTTGGAGGCATCAGCTGAAACAGTGACAAACATAACTTTCAACACAAGCCTGAGTATGCTGCCGCCCAGCATCGTCATATAAAAACTCTTCCCGTAAACTAGTTTTTCAGGCTTGCATCTCAGTTACTTGCTTATACAGGTTCCTCTTTGGCAGTTTTGTGTCTTCAAGGGTAGAGAGGCCTTTGCAGGCTGCTTCCTCTTTCAAGGATTGGAGGAGACCATGGTTGGGATAAGGCTATTTACAGTACTGAAATAATTACTAATTTTTTCAAGTTTCAATCATCTTCATATTTAATCCTACTCTATTTATTTTACTGAAGGTTCAACTGTTAAAATTTATCTCTGGCTTATCAGAAGAGAACGGTTCTAGTCTTTCCATACCCTCGACGCCAATGAGACACAGCCAGGATAATGTGAAGGTAAAACTTTTTTTGTTTTCATTACAACTTATAACAAATATTCACTCCCTATACAAAAGTGAATAGGTGAAATGCAACACAATTTGCTCTTCCTCAATTATGGCTAGTCTAAATTGTCAGAGTAGGGAATACTTGACCTCCAGTATCACACCTGAGCTTGTTGGTAGTTCATGCCTCTGCTTATAGGGCTAGAAAACATGCTATATGCTGCTCTCCTCTGCACCCTTGAATCAAGAGACACAGGTCTTTTCTGCAAGCCTGAAGAGCAGGACCAGGCTTCTGTAGGAGCCCTTAGTTGGGGGTGTAAGGTTAGGTCCCCATTAAAGTGCAAGAAAAAGTTAACTTTTCTTATGCATAGTCAAGGCAGCAGTTGTGGGCCATAACTTCTCTTTTCTCCTCCTTTTATACTCAGATGTTGCCTTGAATAGTGATCTAGTGACTTGCTCACAAATGCACAGTGAGGTAATGGCTCCACTAGGATTTGCACCTCAGATTTTATTTAACTTCCATTCCTTTACCCCACTTACACATTAGAGAAACTCTCTCATCAACAGTAGTGATGCCAGCTCCAGCAAATCAAAGTGGGCAGGGGCATCAGGTGGCGTTTGGTTGTCCTCAGTCAAACCAGCATGGGCTTCCTGGAAATGCTGGGTACCTATGCCTCCCTGTCCCTCTCCTCTTGACCCCCACAACGGGGAGACTGACCAGCTAGTAGGAGTCTCTTGCCCCCTCCAGTATTCATACTCTCACCATAAGAGCGAGCTCCAGCATGGCATTTGGGGACAAGTCTGCTTCCTTCCCCAGAACTACCTTCTCAGCTATCTGACATCAGACTTGTTGAATTTTTGAAACTTGGACTCTTGTTTTCTCCTTACTCTGCCCCGCTGCTACCAGCACAAGTCTTCCTTGGTCTCCGTGACAAATACACTTCTTACCTTTCCTTTTTTTTCCTTTTCTAAACTTCAGTTTTCCTCTACTTTTTTCCCTCTTGTTCTTAGTGTCTCCTCCCTTTCTTATGATTCTTCTTCCTACATCTCCATCCCAGGTGCCCCATTAAAAAAACACTCAGATATGCAGAACTTCCTAAGTATAACCATATGATCTTGTTTACCTTCTTCACCGATCTATTTTATTTTCCTTTTTAGTGTGTCTGTTCTTGCTTAGACTGTAAATTCTTCAATGTCAGGGACTGCCTTCTTATCTTTGCATGGGGCCTAGCACACTAGAGTGCAGCTGTAATATAAATGTTTTTTGGGGGTCACAGTTTATCACTTCAAGTTCTAGTACCTTGTTGAAAAGTGAATGCACTAGAAATCAAATCATGAACCATTGGCAAAACTTCCTTTGACTTCAGTGGGGCCCTAGGTTATGAAAGAAGTGTCTTTGTTGTTAGGATGTTTATGGAGGAAGCCCTAGATAATGTCAGATAGAAACTGATGCTTATCAAAGTGTTGAAGAAAAAGGGAAATGAGAATGCTCTAAATCTCAGGTGGATAATATAGCATTATGTACAAAAACTTTCAACACATTAAAATGCCACATGTTCAGTCCATACTGGCTTACAGTCATCATTTCCCAGTCTCCATATGTATAGAAGTCAATGTCTTGTAATTCAGCATGACTGATATTCTTAATCTTTCAGAACGATGATTTCTGCATATACCTAATTCATTTTTAAATAGTTTATTTTAATTTTTTTTGAGACATGAGCTAACTTGATACTTTCTTATGCAGTTGCTATTGATCGTGAAGAAGTTTGTTTATGCATATTTAAGCCTGTTGGTGAATTCTAAGAATGATCTGGCCCTGGCTCATGTTCTAAATATTCCTGATAGAGGACTTGGAAGAGAAGCCTTCACTGACCTAAAGCATGCTGCACAGAAGAGACAAATGTCCATTTTCCTGGTATGTGTCAAATCAGCATTAATCTTTCAAGAATACATATTTGGAGTAGATCAGAAGTAATGAAACAATTATAAAAATGCGAGTGCTGCATCTTTAAACTCAGATGTAAGGCTGAGAACAAATTGGATTCAGGCTAACACATCCAGTCAGGACAAATAACCTGAAAAGCCTCTCTCTTAAACTAGAGCAAAGAGCTTGCGGAATGGGGTGGATGCCTACTTGAACATCAGATGCAAGGGTGAGCAAGGAAACAATTGTGTGCATGTACACCCAAGTTGTAAAAAGGATATGGGAGCAACAGGAATCAAAACTGTCTATCCAAAGTAATGACTAGAATCCTGAATGAGTGTGGTACGCATACTGATCTGGATTAACTTCTGCACAGTTTAGTTCTAAATATGTTATGCATGCATTTTCTTCTGCTTTAACTCAATTTTTCTTTATTCTTCATACATTTTGTTTTACTACAAGCTTTGTGATTTAGGCTCTCTGGGAATTTCATGCAGACCATATCAGAGCAGTGAAAATTCCCTCTAAGAGGTAGTGAAAGAAGAGTTTTGGAGCGTATTCTGCTTACAATAAGTGTCAAAAAGGCACAAATATAGAGGTCCTTTCTCATAAGGTATATCACTGTCAGGGATACTGTTTAATTACACATACACCTCTACCTCGATATAACGCTGTCCTCGGGAGCCAAAAAAATCTTACTGTGTTATAGATGAAACCACGTTATATCGAACTTGCTTTGATCCACTGGAGTGCGCAGCCCTCCCCCCCGCTCCTCCCCCGGAGCACTGCTTTACCGCGTTATATCCGAATTCGTGTTATGTTGGGTCGCGTTATATCGGGGTAGAGGTGTAGTTGATAAGTAGATGCGAACTTTGTTTAAAGGTCTCCAACCTTTAAAGCACCCAGTTGTGTGCTTTTTTTTTTTTTTTTAAACAAATTCAAACTAATTTTGAATCTGATGTTGAGTCATTTTGAATGGAACTGGAAATGGATTTAGTATATCATGTTCTTTAAATACTTGTCATTGTGGACCCCACTGTAAATGGGCATGCACCTCATGCATGCAAGATCAGATTATTTTGAATAGCAGTGTCTGTTGGGGCCATACATGCCCCCTGTGCCTTCTCGTGCTTCTTCACAAGGGCTTATGCAGCAGCTGTGATCCTACCTCACTTCCCTCTTTCTGCTTATGGCAGCAAGATGGAACCTAGTGAGTGTGCAACGCTTCTTAGATACTTTAAAAAATGTTTGTTTTCATTAAATTTATGAGGAAACCTTCATCTTTACACTCCCTTCATTTGAATGTCCCTTCTCCCTGCAAAAAAATAGAGGGGAGAAAAGTTCCTGGAGACTATGCCTACACAGTTGGACAAGGTGCTGGGAGTCAGCTGCTATGCCTCCTAGTGGATTCCATACTGTCAAGGTTTAAACCTTGCCCATCCTGTGAGACTGATCCCTATCAAGCATGGACAATCGATGCCTCTTTTGCCTAGACTAGGCTATCTACAGCCTGGACAGGTGCTTTACGTACAAGTCCTTTTCACTCCGCTCAAGTTACATCTATTGGAGCAGTCCATATGCATCATTTTGGAACCACAGGAGATGGTCACTACCAGAGCAAGGCCAGATAAACCAGTATCTGCCAGGACTTCCTCGATCATATATTGTACATAGAGATCGAGCACTAGAAAGAATCTGAAGAAAGCACCAGCAGAGCCAGCACTGGTGACTTTGATGCCGACCCCTTCAACACTGGCCAGGTCCTTGGCACTGAAAACCTCAGCACCAAAAATGGACAGCCTTGGTGCCTACCCCAGGCAGGAAATCCAGCACCTGTGCCTATACATAAAGATGAGGCTCATTCATGGAGCTGAGTGGAGCTCAAACATAGATGCAAATGTTAAGGGAAGTCCCATAAGGAGGAAAGAAAACATGATTCCTCAAAGGACAGAGCATATGAGTCCTCAACCAGATCAGGAATGGCAGAGGGAATGAGATCTCTGATGCTGACCTTTCTATCTTTGATGGAATCCAGCAAAGATCTGAGAAATACTCTGGAGGGATCTGAATAATCTCCAGAGTTATTCCCTCCAATGGAAAGAGACTATGAGCCCCAGTGCCCTATCTACCTATGGCACTGCTGTACAAAGAGAAGATATGCTCTTCATGCCATTGTTGGTGTATTCATTCTTGCTGGTGTTGACCAGAGATTTTTCTCCTCTGCCTTTAGAGTGTGACCCTAAGGACGACATGTGGGAGTCCTTATTAAGAGCACTGCCCCAGATGAGTGGCACTGGGCTAGCCCTAGTCAGGCCAGTACCCATATGACATGATACCTTGGCCATATTGCCTTTACTGGAGACTGTCCTCTCATGCGTTCAGGAATAGATTCCTTCCCCGCCCCCCATGTTTACAGAAAGAGGGGGAAATCCCATTCTCTGGTTGCATCATTAGTCAGGCCTCCCACACTAGAATTGGACATGGTCCCCAAGAGCAAGACGTGACAGAGGGATCACAACAATCCCTGTCTCCACTCACAGAGTCTTCATCATTGCCAGAATAGGCACTGACACCAGCGCCAGTGCCAGTGATTGACTTTAAAGATTTTCAGGACTTCTTGACCCACGTTGTGGATGTTGAGTCTTCATTTATACTAAAGAAGCATCTCAAACTTTGGTATTTTGAGTGTCACGATGCCAGTCAAAATTGTTCTCCCTGTTAATGAAGGGATCCTGGAACTGGTCAGAGGACTGTGACAAACCCTGGCAACTCTTCCTCCCACTTTGAAGAGAATGGAAGAGAGATATTGGGTACCCCTCAAAGGCTTTGAACACTTTTATGCACATCCAAACCCAGAGTCTCTAGTTGTTCTGGAAGTACAAGAAAAATCCGAGTCCATAAAAGGCATACCAAAGGATACAGATCCAAAAAAATTGGACCTCTCTGGACGCAAGACATGTTGATCAGTCTCACTCTAACTCTGTTTGATAAATGACTAGCCCCTATTTGCCAAAGTACTGTTTTCTCTCTTGGGTGAAGTTCACTCCCTTCTCATCCAAAATCCAAGAGAAACAGGGATGAGTTAAAGGAAATCATTAAGTGGGACCAGATGGTCATCAGAATGTAGCTATGGGTGTCCATGGACACAACTGATATGGCTATAGGGTTGATAGCTGGGCAGTCACTATGAGATGGGCCTCATGGCTCCAGGTGTCTGGCATACTGTCAGGTGCAGGCCACTTTAGAAGACCTGCCCTTTGAGGGGATGGAGCTCTTCAACCAGAAAACAGACTAAGTACTCCACTCCCTTTCAAGGCAATGCTATTGTCCTTTGGGATTTACGTGCTGGCCCCCTATAGGGAACCTTAAAAGTATAAGCCCCAGCAGAGGAGACAGTTCTATTTCTGTGGTTGTCAATCAGAGCACCAACAGAGAGCCCAGGTACTCCAGGGGGTGACTGTTTTCCATCTCCTCGGCTAACCTGACTCGCTCTCAGAAGCAGCAGATTTGATGGGAGTGTTGAGAGTCAATCTGGAGCTTTCACCTATCTTTGGGAACCACCTTGCCCCTTCTTCACCACGCCTAGGCAGCCTTCACAGCTGACAAATTGGCACTAGAGGCTATCCTGTCCATTTCCAGGCATTATTCTTACCAAATTTCCTGCCTTGTCCTTCAGGATCCCTCTCATGAGAAAATATTACAACAAGTGGTCTTACTGCTTTATCTAGGAGCCATAAAGTACCTACAGAGTACTGGGGAAGAGGGTTTCTTCTCCTTCATGAAGAAGAAAAAATATCAGAAGAAAGGGGTCTTAATCCTATACTAGACCTTAGACTGAACAAATACATATGATGCCTGAGTTTCAGGATGGTAATATTTGGTCTCCTCTTGACTTGCAGGATGCATACTTCTACATAGCCATCCATCCAGCCCACAAGAAGTACCTAAGATTGACAGTGGGACTCAATCATTACCAAAACAAGATACTGCCATTTAGACTTTCCATGGCATCAAAAATCTTCATTAAGTGCCTAGCAATAGTAGTGGCTCATTTCAGAAGGAGGGGTAGCCATGTCTGTGATTATCTCAACAATTGGCTGATCACAGGCATATCTCAGGAGGGGATGGCTGTGAGCCTGAACTACGCTCTCTCCCTATTCTCTCAGCTGAGTCTCCTGGTGAACGGCAAATAAGTCTATTCCATCACAGGTGATAGTGTTCATAGAAGCCTAGATCAATTCCAGGTCTGCGGGAGCATACCTTCCCAATGATAGATTCCTCTCAATGCAACTGCTATTACTTGCAATAAAAAACAAGTCAACAATGACAGTATGAACGTGTCTGGGGCTGCTATGCCCTATGTTAGCATGCATGTATGTTGCACTGCTTGCCAGACTTCCCCTGTGGTCACTCTGACTCTCTTTCCCAGCAAAACACCCAAATAAAAAAGAATGTTGTGGTTCCACCTCATGGCATTGCATAACAGAGATGGTAGAAGGAACCCAAAAATGGACATGGAGGTGTGCAGGTCTACCCCCCACCTCCTAACAAGAACTTTAATTACTAGTGCATCAAGAGCAAGTGAGGGAGACAACCTGGACCATCTACAGATGTGAGGGACCTGGTCCCTGGAAGACTTTTCAGCTTCATATCAATGTCCTGCATGGACTTACTATCTGGTCTTCAAAATTCCACAGTGCTGAACCTGATGGCCAACAACTCTGTGATGCACTACATCAACAAGCCAGGAGGTTCATACTCATTTCTTCTCTGTCAGGAGACTATCAAGTTATGGATGTAATGCCATTGACTTGGGATAACCCCAATGTCCCATCTCCTGGGAATTGGCAACAACCGGGCAGACTTCCTGAGCAGGTAGTCCATGGCCAATCGCAAGTTCTTCCTGTGGAGATCCATCATACACCCAGTATTCTGTAGCTGGGTGGGTTCCTTTGGTAGACATATTTGCCACCCAGGATGATGCCAATTGTCAGAATTTCTGTTTCAGAGGGATCATGAGCCTGGGATCATTGCCTAACTCCTTCCTTCTGCAGTGGAATCCAAGCTTCCTTTATGCCTTTCTACTGACTCTCCTTTGTCCTCAGGGTGATTTCCAAAACTGAGACAGACAAAATTGTTTGTGTAGCTCCATACTGGCAGAGGCAGCACTGTAGTCAGATACTTCATCTAGAATCTGCATCTGATAGTCTGGATGTTGTCTGGTTAAGTGCCATAGACGGAATGCTCTAGATAAGTCCAGGATATCCTGATACAGAGCAGAAAGATGTCCACCAGAAGAACTTATTCATCAAATTGGAAGAAGTTCTTTATTTGGGCTGCTCTATGGGGCCTGGACCCTATTCAGGTTTCAGTACTGCAGATCTACTACTACTGCCTTCATTTACTATGCTTTGGCCAGTTGAGGTGGACCTGGAGTCAGAGGACCCATGTTCCCTGGAGGGGCTGTCACTGAGGGGACACCATGGGAACAGGGAGCACAGATTTAGACTGGAAGCAACTCAGCCACATGGACAGAGCAGTGCACAAGGTTTAATAAAGTTGCACTTAACCTGTATTCAGCTTCATTGATGCAGATGAAATCTACTTCACAGCCATTTTTGCTTGCCATTTGCCTGTACAGTCATGCTTGGTCTCCACTCACTTGACGGTACTGGATTTCCTCAATGGCCTACTTCCTCCTGGGACCTCAACTTTGTCCTCTCAAGATTCGAAAGACCACCCTTTGAGCTCCTTTCAGAGTGCATTTTACTCCAGACTATCTTCCTAGTTGCAATTGTATCAGCCAGGAGAACGAGGGAGCTCCAAGTACTCACAGCAGGGCCTTCTACACAATGTTTCATGGGGTTATGGTGGTGCTCAAACCTCAATCCAAGTTCATCCCCATGGTCAGCTTGGAATTCCATCTGAATCAACCAGTAAATCTGCCTATCTTCCTCCTGAAACCCACTCTTCTTCAGGAGCAAAGTTGTATACATTAGAAGTTTCCTGAGCCTTCCTTTACTACATTGACAGAAACAAACTGTTCAGACTGTCTCCCTTTTTTTTTCTGTCTGTAGACAGCCATTCCAAGGGCCAGGCCATCTCATTACATTCTGATATCCACTTAAATATTCTTTGTATCTCCCTGTTACCCATTGGATGGTGTGCTCCTCCCACTGACCATCAAGGCTCATGCCACCAGGGCTCAAATGACATCCTTCACCTGCTTCAGAAATGTTTCCATTTCTGAGATCTGCAAACCCACTGACAGTTTCTTCCCCCCTCCCGCTCCCCAAACATGCACTTGACTTAGTTGCTAGAGCGGATGCTAGATTCAGGAGAGTAGTACTAAAATCTCTGTACAACTGAGGAAGATGATACTATTCATTCTATTATCCAGAAGGAGAGTGCTGTTTGTCAGTCACTTATAATGGGAGCCACACTGACACATACAGGGAGAGAAGTTACGTACCTTACACTAACTGGTTCTTTAAGATGTTATTGTCAGTGTGGCTCCCACAACCTGCCCTCCATCCTTGCTTTTCAGAATCCTCCGCTACCATGGGCTTCAAACTGCAAAGAAACGGAGGGAGGGTTGCAGCAGCTCTGCCCTTTATGTCCTTGTGTGGGAGCATGTCATAACTATAAAGGAAAGGGTAACAGCCCTCCTGTGTACAATACTATAAAATCCCTCCTGGCCAGAGACTCCAAAATATTTTACCTGTAAAGGGTTAAGAAGCTCAGGTAACCTGGCTGACACCTGACCCAAAGGACCAATAAGGGGACAAGATACTTTCAAATCTTGGTGGGGGGAAGGCTTTTGTTTGTGCTCTTTGTTTTGGTGTTAGTTCGCTCTTAGGACTAAGAGGGACCAGACATCAATCCAGGCTCTCCAAATCTTTCTGAACAAGTCTCTCATATTTCAAACTTGTAAGTAAACAGCCAGGCAAGGCGTGTTAGTTTTATCTTTGTTTTCTCAACTTGTAAATGTACCTTTTACTAGAGTGTTTACCTCTGTTTGCTAACTTTGAACCTAAGGCTAGAGGGAGGTCCTCTGGGCTCTTTAAGTTTGATTACCCTGTAAAGTTATTTCCCATCCTGATTTTACAGAGATGATTTTTACCTTTTTCTTTAATTAAAAGCCTTCTTTTTAAGAACCTGATTGATTTTTCCTTGTTTTAAGATCCAAGGGGTTTGGATCTGTATTCACCAGGGAATTGGTGAAGAGTCTCTCAAGGCTACCCAGGGAAGGGAATTAGCACTTTGGGAGTGGTGGCAGCGGACCAGATCTAAGCTGGTAGTTAAGCTTAGAAGTTTCATGCAGGTCCCCACATTTGTACCCTAAAGTTCAGAGTGGGGAAGCAGCCTTGACAGAGCACAAGGAGGCATAGGGTGTGTATGTGGCCCTGACAAACACTGCTATTTGAAAGAATTTGATCTTGTGTACATGAGGCGCATGAGCAGCTACAGTGAAATACACTGATGCAGTGAAAAAACACTCTTACTGTAGGGTAAAGTAATCTTTATTTATGCTGAAGCAGCCGAACTCCCATGATCTTATGGTTGAATAAATATGGAAAAAATTGTGAAACCTCAGTTCTAGGATTATTTCAGCTCTTAATGTTGTATTAATGTTGTAAAAAAAAAAAATGTTTGGACTGGATTCATTACCCTCTCTTTCTCAGTTGCCAAAGGGGAAACTTCTCTACTGTATAAAGAAGCCTTCTTTTTTTGGCATCTTTGTCTAGGATAAATTACATGAAGCCAAAATATTTTCCATTGAGGAGGCAAGGTCCTATGAACCGCATGCAATCCACAGCAAATCTTTAACAGAGCAAAGATATGAATGTTGGCAGGTCTGCTTTCTTTCTTTGCTAGAATTATTTCAGTTGTACTGTTTTCAAGTCCTAAGAGGTTATGAGCTTTTTATAATCTGAAGTTAAAAATTATATACACAATTACTATTGCATCCTTGCAAACAGATAGGATTGTCAAAAGTTTTGTTTACCTAAAAAGGTAGGAGTCAAAAACTAATTTTTCTGAAAGTTGCTGTAAAGTTGTAAGTGTTCTGCTTGGGGCAGTCTTATATTTTTAATAATATTTTATCTACTATATGTATAGATCTACTACATAAATATATGAAAACTTTACTATATAAATATAGTAAATAAAACTGACTTGATTGTAGAGTGTATATAACTGACTTGATTTTCAGCAGTGATGAACATCCTGAGCTCTCATTTTCTCCCCTCTCCCCGCAGGAAAGTTGTGGGTGTCTGGAAAATTGAGCCACTTCAGTGACTAACTTTTAGTCACTCTCACTTTAGAAAATGTTCATAAAGCACAGTATGTCCCTGATCCTAGTTATATCTATGAGTAGGACTGTTGAGTTCAGCTTGCGTGCAAAAAGTTACTCAAGTGCATATATCTATAAAATAATGCACAGTGATATTTTGAAGTTTAATTTGGTAAAAGACTGTGCTTAATTACTTGGACCTAATTTTATATTTTGTTTGCAGACCTCATATAATGCTGCACTATTTTAAGTCGTGATCTTGCCAATGGTTGTCACCAGGCATAATGCTTACTATAATGTGTAACCCCATTGACTTCACTAGGACTGTTCATGCTAGCAACCAGCTGCCTTTTGCCTTGGGAGAGGATTACTTCTTCAAAACGATTCATAATTGTCTCTTCCTAAAGTTATATACTTCTTTTACTACTATAGTTCTACCTATCTAAATATTTTTCTGATAATAGATGGCAACATCTTTCATCCGAATGATAGAACTTGGAGGAAAAGGTTATGCACCTTCACCATTTGATACTTTAAGAACCCATGTAAAGGGACTTTCAGACTTTGTTAATTTTATCGACAAGCTGGAAGAAATCATTGGCGAAGTCCTGGATCCACGGTAATGGAGTTTCCCTCTTTTCTTTTCCTTGCTGGGTGTGGGGGTATTCTTGTTTTTTGTTTTGTTTTCTGAATTCTGTAAATTTAGTTATTGATTGTTGATAGTCTTTCTCCCCTCCTCCCCTGGAGTAGTAAATGTTTATAGCTTAAATTGTATAGCTCTAGAAACTTTTATTATTCATGGTTCCTATTGTTTTCACTCTGGGCAGCTGGACTGTCTTCTGGATTAAAATTTTCTAATTCCAGACCTTGGTGTGCTCATTAGGTCCCATAGGAATCTTTGATTGCTGTCTTCTGTCTTGTAGTCTCTTTCAGGGATAGATTCTAGCTACCCCTGCTTCTTGCTTATTCCAGTAGTTGTTGAGTTCCAGGTGGTTTCTGGTTTCCTGAGCTGTAGTTTCCAGTTTCCAGCGGTATCCTCAAGATGTAAAATGCTCTCACAACGGTTTCTATATATCTTGATAACCATGCAGTCATTATCATTGTAGTTGTTCAGCTATCTGGTTTTGTGTTTCTTTGGCGAATCCTCTTTTGTTAGCACTCGTAAAACCTTACTTAGCATGTGTCTTTGGACTCTTCTGTAGTCACCACTACTGCCGCACAGAAAACATCCAGTGCGGTTCCCCTCTGTGCTATTCTGTAAGGGATATGGGAGGGTGGGGGGAGAGGATGGGGGAGGAAGGAGGAGTGGGGTGCTTTGGCTGCACCTCTAGCACTGACTGAAGGCACTGTAGCTAGATGCTCATTTTTTCATTGGACAGAGAGTAAATAGTGTTATTTGTGTAGTCTTCTCTCCCACATGTAAGGGTAAGTAAGAGAGGCAAGGAAGAACAAGGATCCAGATGGGATTCCCAGAAATAGTGAGGAGGGCTTAAAGGAAACAAGATGCTTGACAAGTGTATCCTAGGTGCTCTCCCAAAATACGTATAGGTATCCTAGATTTTTACTGTGGGAAATCAACAACCTGAAGGTGGCCCAACACCTAGAGTGAGAACTTTAAACCTGTTCTTCCCACTTACACTGGATAAAAGGGACAGAATAACCTAAAGATGAAACCTGCCCTGAGAGACAACACAATGTTTCTGTTGAACCAGGGGCGGCTCCAGGCACCAGCGCACCAAGCGCGTGCCTGGGGTGGCAAGCCACGGGGGCCGGCCTGCCTGTCACCGTGAGGGCAGCAGTCAGGCTGCCTTCGGCGGCATGCCTGCGGGAAGTCCGCCGGTCCCGCGGCTTTGGCGGCAATTTGACGGCGGGTACGCCGAAGGCGCAGGACCGGCGGACCTCCCGCAGGCACACCGCCGAAGGCTGCCTCACTGCTGTGCTTGGGACGGCAAAATACATAGAGCTGCCCCTGTGTTGAACCCAGAGAGAGCCTGGGCTTTCTAGGCCACAGCAGTAAAAACAGAAGGAAAACTGCCACTGAGGAGGGCAGATGGACCCTGCACCCCCACTTTTACTGACTGAGACAAATGGAACTGTTAGCTTGTGCTCAGCTTTGTAAGGAGAGACAGACTACAGCTGTAGAGAGAGACTCTGCAGGGGGGCCGTAGGAGGAGGAATACTGGTGCTTTTTATAACCAATTGGGGCCTATGTTCTGCAGCTCATCTGAGAGGCATGCACACGCACACGCAATATTGCAGGGTACTTTCTTTTACATCCTACACTGAGGGAATCTGGGCTGGGACTTGATCTTCTGCTTCCAGTTAGTGCGGTTATTTCAAACATGATATATTCTATTAATTACCCAGATGTTGGACCTGGCTGGGGGAAAGGAAAGGAGCCAGAAGATTACCAAGGATTGAGCCAATGGAGAAGTCTTTGGTTTAGGCATCCATGTACTCTGGAGAGGCTGGGTGGCTGCTAAGGACCAGAACAGGCTACTTTGGAGAGCAGTTGCCGGAGCAGAGTGTTTGACAGGGAAATGGGTATCCAGCAAGGTGAGATAGCTGGCATCTTCTATGGATGCAGTGAAGACCAGATCCCTTTGCATAAAAACCTTGAGACAGGAACTGTGTGGCTTTCATGGGGAACAGAGGGGAAGGAATCACTGGAACTACAGGAAGCCTGAGGATCATGGGAGAGGGTAAGAATGACCTGAGGCTGAGGAGCTGCAGTTGGAGTGGCAGAAATATCTAAGGAGGTGAAGAAACAGGAGGCTACTGTAAGGTTCAGGAAGAGGTAGAAGAAATAACAGCTAAAAGGGGACTTACCAGAATTGGGGCAACTGGGAAACGTCAAGTCCAGGAGCCCCATACCCTGTGGAGGCAGAGAAGTTGCTGCTAGAGCTGGGTTGGCTCTGGTACATGTCTGCAAGCCCCAGGAAGGGCACCTGGCAGGTATTCCAGTCCCATATGTAGACCTGCTCTCATGGATGTCTTCCCTCTGTCCTTTTCTTCCACCCTTCATCCCCTGCAAGGGTATGGTCTCCACAGCTATCTCTATTCCAGGGAAGAGGGAGAAGGAGGGCTGATTCCCAGAAACAGCAATACACTAGATCAGGGGTCGGCAACCTTTCAGAAGGGGTGTGCCGAGTCTTCATTTATTCACTCTGATTTAAGGTTTTGCGTGCTAGTAATACATTTTAACATTTTTAGAAGGTCTAAAAGTCTATAATATATAACTAGACTATTGTTGTATGTAAAGTAAATAAGGTTTTTAAAATGTTTAAGAAGCTTCATTTAAAATTAAATTAAAATGCAGAGCCCCCCCGGACTGGTTGCCAGGACCCGGGCAGTCTGAGTGCCACTGAAAATCAGCTCGCGTGCCGCCTTTGGCACGCCTGCCATAGGTTGCCTACCCCTGCACTAGATCCTCCCAGTTCCACCTCCATCAGAGTCTAGGGAGAAAGAGAATGGAGCAGTCAAAATCCCTAGCTACTTGGGAAGTCTCCAGGAGTCTGTTTAGGCACACAGGAGTGTGCACAGGCACCAGCATTAGCTGGATTTTCCAACATGAACAGCTATCTTCCTGTCCCCACTATAGGGAGTTCAAAGGAACTGTTCCAGTGGCAGCAGCTTCTCTGTGTTGCTGACTCCAATTCTAGAAGAAAACCTAGTCAGAGAAGGGAAGGAACCATTTCAGCTCCAGCAGCTCTCATATGGCCTGTAGCTACAGTGGTATGGATCCTTGTGAGAAGCCCCTCATACCGGCTAATGGGATGTTCTCAACCTGCAGTTGCAGGAGAGAGGCAGATTCTAGCTTTCCACTCCACATAGCCAGGATGGTATAGATACTGCAACTGGAGGAGGGAAGATATCAGCAGAGTCCGTTACTGGGGACCTGTCACTGTATTTGTTGCAGTGCCCTGTACATGTTCACTCTAACATAAAATAATGGGCACCAAGTGATCTGTTGCAGACAGAGAGCCCTCGGGAGGACTGAGGCTATCTAATGCAGAGAACCCAAGAGTGGATGCTGCCATCTCTGGCGCTACTACAACAGCAGCAACTCTAGTAGAAGCAGCAGCCTGGGAGGACCTACTGAATAGAAAAACTGAAGTTTCTCTGAAGGGAGACTTCAAGTCCTTGAGTTTGTTGTTAACAGGCTTCAAATTACAATGTGTATGCATTGAGAATAGCAGTCCACTAGTTGCAAAAGCTCTTTAAGTCTCTGGAAGCTAAGGGCAAGTAATTCAAGCTAGTTAAGGCACTGCTGTTCCTTCGTTAAGTCTCTCATCCTGTGAGGTGATGTGCAATGTGATTAGAATTAGTTCTGCTCCATGGCCTTATATATGTCAGCTAGGAGGTCCCTGCAGAAGAAGCAGTCTTCCAAAGGACTAACCATTCCACCTTTCAAAGACCGGGGATCACAGAAGTCTATTCCTTCTTGGAAACTCACAGGTAGCTAACAAGCGATAGGAGCTTTTAGCTGGAAGCAATATTTAGCATCAGAATGGTTAAAGTATTCCTCATCCAGTAGAAAATAACCAAGCTGCAAAATCAGGTTCCCATATTTGCTACAGGAAGAAATATACTGTAGTATTATGGAGCTGGCTGCATGGTTGATGTCAGGAAGTCTCAGAGTAGAGTCATGAGCTGTTCATGTTGTCATAGTGGAAAGCAGAACTGGGAAACAAAAACTCATACCAAAAAGTGTTGGTCAATCATCGAAAACCTGCACCTTGGATGTTCTGGAGTGGAAGATGTCAATTATGGACACTAGCTCACAGACCAAAGTGACCAGGTTGGCACTATTTACTTTACCTTGAGAGTCCAAAATTTTATTTGGGAGGGCAATTGAACAACGCCATGACAGGCATAAGTAAATTGTCATGGGGGATACCTGAAGGGTAGGACATGATCAAGAATATAGATCTGCTAGTCTTGAGTAAAACAAAATCTATTTCCAGTCTGTGAGGCAGTCACATAATGAGAAAAGAAACTCCAGTGATGGATTGGCTGAGTAGAATCCAGTTGAATTCCAAAGTATGACAATGCTGACCAAATATGGCACAGAACCCAAGTGGACCCATGAGCTTCCAAGAGACATAGAAAGATAGGGCTGGGCATTTGACTGATTCAAAAATGATTGGTCAAACAATGTCAAAAATGATCAAATATTTTAAAGCACTAATTTATGAAAACAGTAACAAAAAAGAGTAAGACTTTATGGTCTCCACTAGGTTTAGCCTTAGACACTTATGCCTAACTTAAAAAAAAAGTTACTTAACTAAGTTACTTTAACTCAGAAAAATGCAATACATAATGAAATAAGGTTCTAAAAAAATTAAATAATTTTCTTATTTTTAGCAATGTTAATCTAACATTTAAATGTGAGTGTTGTTCAAAACCAAACAGTTATAAAAGGAAAAATAAAATTAAACAGAAATAAACACATAGCAATTTTATTTTTAAAAAAGTCATTTTTAAATGCACGTCTGTCAGATAGGCATCAGACCAGCTTGTCAAATGTCTTGCTTTTCATATCTCCTTTATCAGCTTCAGTGCTTCATCTGTAACTTTGTTGTCATCAAATCCATCAGTATCTCCTTCCTCTTCATC